AGAATTAAGTGCTGAGCTGTCTGATGCTAATAGCATTGAAGGCATTATAAATATCGCTGTCAAAAAATGCCGAGTAAATAATGTCTCAGTAATAAAAAGCATTGTAAAACGATTTAAAATCAATCAAGCAAAACGTCTGATATCAGAATACGAGGAAGAATTGAAGACAGTTAGTGGATCATTGAAGAATTTCCTTAGTCGGAATCAACCTGAGCATTTTCTCTTTTGTGAAACAATTCAATTTACTTTGGGATGGGAACCAGAGGAGCACTCACTTGATGACATACGTAATCTTTTAGAGGAAGCATTTAAAGAATTAAACAAGAGGATTATTGTACAAACCATTCATCGTGGGAACTCCATCATTATCATTTGTTATGGCCCACATCATTTACTAGCTGCTCTTTTTTTGGAAGCACAAGCCAATCTCAATGTCTTGATGAAAGAATTCAGTTTAATTAAACTAACCTTTGGCCATTACACTGTCTATGATAAAAGGATCAGATACACAGTATAAGATACCATAATTTTATAAGACCTTGTTTAATATTATGTACTAATTATAGGTAATGAATAATGAGTGTCTTGCAGAGGAGATAAAACTTACTGATGGAGAGGAACAAGAGCTGAGGACTTTACTTGATTACAAAGAAGGTGTGTTTGTATTACTCAATACTGATGTGACAATGTTATAGGATTAATATTTGAACAAGATAATATCATTAAAAAAAGAAAAAGTATAATTAGTGAATGAGAAAGGTATTGTTTTAATGTATTTTACTTGTATAGAGATTATTGAAAAGTCACTACAGACACCAGGTATAGTACTAACTGAAAGCAAGTATTTAAGTAATGATAATCAGTACAATTTTATATAAACTAAAATTTTCATTGTGTCATTATTGTAGAGTTTAAACTGAAGGTTGAAAGAATAAGGTTGCAAGTAGCTACAAATGAAATATTCAAGTCCAAGAAATCAGACACTCTGTATTTTCGAACCTCTCTCCTAGTGAAAGCAGGTATACTGACTCTACCAATATAGCTTGTCATTTACTAGCTACCTCATCTCAGGAAGAGAGAAGGCATTACTTGAGTATAAGAAAGAGATTGAGTTACTACAAGAAAATATATCAATAACTAGAAAGCAACTGCTGATGAGTCAAAAGGCAAATATTCACAGTATGCAATGTTAGTAATTAAATCATCAACTGACTGATGAATTATATAGAGACGGGTCAGTGTAAACAAACACCAACAGCAACACGAACAGCAAAATCTATTTACACATCATGTATTGACTATCAAGGAATATATAGTCATCATCTTGGATTCAGTGAGGGAGAACAGCTGGAGATATATGATAAGTGTGATATTTTTTATGGAGAGGAAGATCCTTGGCATCTGGTGATGAGGGAGACATTCCAAGTAGTTGTGTTTACTCAATGTTGGAGTCACTTCAATTGTTGGAGTTTCTATTGAGATTGGGCAATGATGAGAAAGTTTCTCATATCTTGGAGACTATTAATAATGATCCTATTGTGATACCGGCACTGAGACAAGACAAGGAACTACATGATGAAGGTAATAAAATAATGTGATTATTGTGAGAGTTAGTATAATTTTGTTGATAATTAGTTTTTACATTTTATGATGAAATATTGGGCATGCTTAATGTTGTAATAATCAAATGGACTTTGTCAGTTATTGTCAATAATGGTACCGTATTTCCTCGTGGAAGCGCCTAGGCATTTATTTCTTATAGAGACCGTTTGCCAGGCGTTTAAATGAAGTAGGCGTTTATACGAGTTGGGCGTTTATAACCAAAAATAATCCTTAATACCACCATGTTTCAATGGACACAACTTGTATTTTAAAACTGATGTCAAAACTTCAATGAGTTTCCTCAGCCTTCTCAGCTGCAGCTGCCATTGTAGAGTGTAGACTATGTAAGGTAGTGGGTACATGTACCACGTGCATGGATGGGGCAGGTGGGTGTGGTATAGGCTTTTAATCAAGAATGGGCGTCTAAACAAGCATGGGTGTTTATTGTCAAAGTTATATGCTGTCTCTAGGCGTTTA